AGGAGTGCCCTTCACCAGCCCTCCCTCCCCTCTAGGCATAAACCTGGAAGCCAAGGCCATCTACTACTCCCAGTCTCCAGCTGACATGCCACACTGCCCCGAGCATGGACATGCAGGGCGGTCAGATAGATCCAGAACCCATGTCCCCCACTGCTCTGCCAGCATAGCCCATCCCCCCACTTCTGGGTCAGGACACAGCACAGGGGATGGAACAGAGACACTGTCCTTGCCAAGGAAACCGGGTCCTGGCTCCAGCTTAGGTGTCCAGGTCCCCATGACTGCAAAGAAGCAGAGTGAGGAGGACATATAGGTGGGCAAGAGCCACAGGGGAACCCTGCAGCCACCTTCACACCACATTTGTGGCAAGATGAGGCCTCAACCCTGTGGGAAGGTGTGCAGGTAAGGCAGTTTCCCCAGAGCCTGTTTCTGCCTGGGTGCAAAGCAGGAGGGGCCTATGATGTCTGAAACCCCTCATGTCACCCATAAGGTTGTGAGGTTGCCTCCCAAGAGGGGCTCCTCTTGGGAAGGGGTCCCTTCATGATGCTGAGTGAAGACTGGCCTCTGCTGGGACAGGAGGTCAGGAAAGCTGATTCCCTCTTCCTTGCAATTAGAACCTGGGCCCCAAACCAGACCCATCCATCTACTTCATCCTGACACCTCGGAGATGCATGCACTCAGAAAGGGTGACAGTTCCCAGATGAGCACATCCAGTGAGTGGCCCATGGCACTCCTCTCACCTACTGACCTCAAAAGCATGAGTCTGCTCTCTGCTGGGTGAGAAACAGCTGCTTGATAGGATGACGACCAGAACATTCCCTTATGGTGGGTGAAGCCAGGGCAGCCTTTGGCACCCTCTGTCCAGACTGTTCAAAAGACACCTACCGCTGTTATGAACCCGAGAATTGGGGGGAGGCCCTAGAAGACCTCAAGTCCCCCACCTACCCTCCCATGTTGGTGGTGGATGCAGGAGTCCACTATTCTTAGGATGGTGGCCTAGCTGTGCTGTGGGCGCCACTAGATGGCACTGCGACAGCAAGGTGTGCAAGGTGCACACCTGAGCTAGGAGCAGAGGAGGTGCTGCAGGAGCTCAGCCCTCTGGATTTGGGTCTAGGAAGGCAGGGAGAAGAAAACAGGAGAAGAAAGAGACTGGGGAGAGCGAGATGGAAGACAAGAGTGACAGGAGAGGGCCGCAGGTAAAGATGGGAAGGAAGGTGCTGGGCACTCCCTCCCATCCCATCCTGCCCTTTTCCCATTGTGACACACTGGGTGGCCTGGGTAGCTATGGGCAGTGGGAGTCTCATTGCTCATGGGGACCCTCACCTGATTGTCCATATGACCTGGACTCCAGTCCCCCTTGGAGCCACCTCTTGTTAGAACTGCAGAGGGATAGCTCTCCCCTGGGGGACGAGGACCCTGTCTCCAGCACAGACCCTGGGCAGGGAGGGAGTGGGTCACTGACTGCCTGTTTCCTCCTATCCAGGTTGCCTTGGGGCTGGTTCTGCCACATTAGACCCCATCACATTCCTGGCTGAGCTTTCTGGGGTCTCAGGTCGGTATCCAGGTCAGGCCTAGGGGTGCTGCTGGGTAGCTGGCCTCCTTCTGGGCAGTAAGCACACGAAGGACAAAGAAGTGCAGAGCCATAGGGCCTGGAGCGGTCCCCTCCTGCTGGGAATGCTGTCAATGAAGTCTTTTCCTCCTACCTCCTGACAGGTATGGAATTCCATGACCCCCACCCACCCACCCATGCCTACCAGGGAGGCCCACTACACACATGGGAATGTTAGGGTACAGAGTGATCAAGGGATTATCCAAAGCCACTCAGTACACGGAAATGGGGCCTCCTATGCCTGACAAATGTCCTGACATGCCCCTCCAGGCTCTGACAGTGACCACAAAGAACCTTGGGGCACCAGGGACACCAGAAGTTTGGGACTCCACCTCTCCCTCATCCATACCGCATTGGTACCATCTAGCCTGGGAAAGGGAGGTCTTTGGAAAGAGCAGGTCAGGCTCATGGGGGCTGGACTATAGGCTTTAAGGACAGGGACGGAGCAGAGCAGTAGGGGTCTGCCTCCTCCAGGAGCCCTGGAAGTGTCTTAGACTGAGATATGAAGCCCTCTGTTTCCCCATCACCTTACATGGTCATCTTCCTGCCCAAGTAAAATCCACCTCCTCTCCTTGGCATAGATATGAAGAACCAGGCCACAGTCCTGCAGTGCCAGGCATTAGGGTACTCAGACCTTAGTTGGTCAGGGCACGGAACTGCATGTCTGGCTGCCCTTGCCCGCTGTGGCCCCAGATCCCTGCTCCACTGTGGACGCTCAGTGCAGGTTCACCTGCTGGCCCTGAACCCTCGATACACACAGATATCCCCTGCCTACTGCACGCACCCCTGTACAGGACACAGAACAAAATACCATGGTGGCTCTTGAAGTTTCACCCTCGTCCTCAGGGAAATGTCAGGGATGCATCAAAGGTCACATCTACTTCTCATGCTCCTGCCACTGTAGTCAGATGCGCAACATTGTCACATTAGAGGGATCCTGAGAGCTTCTGGAAGATCCTGGTTAGGACAGTGCGTCTCAGAAGAAGGAGGCACCCACTCAGCGGCCCTCCCTGAGGGGCCCCAGGCTGTCAGATATGCGACATGCACACTTTGAGGAGGGGAAGATGGGACAGGGTCTAAGAAAGCAGGTTTAACAGATCAGGGCAACAATAAACAGCGGACAGCTAAGCCACGATCCCCTGCCCACCTTAGGGCAGGTAGCAGATGCATGGTTACGGGAACCGACTATCCTGATTTTAGCACCTGAAATGTCAAATCCTGGAAAAACATGGATGCATGGCTACCTTAGCCTATGGTTCTGGTGGACCAAGGAGACAGGCCTGGCTGAGCTCCGGGCTGTGGCTCAACACAGACATCAGCTCTCAGGGCCCCTGTGGGTTGGACACGCACTTGTGAGAAGCACATGTTGGGCGGCTGCCCTGAATTCCTTCATTCAACCTTGAGAACAACCAGAAGTCTGTCTTTCTATGATCCTCATTTTATAAGCAATAAAGAAGAGGCACAAAGCAGATAAGTTCAGTGTCCACACTAACACGGTAACTAACAAGCAAGGGCCAGAAGAACGCAGCAGAAATTCAGGAGGTAGACAGACTGCTGTGATCACACACACACACACACACACACCCATGCATATACACATACATGTGCACACACAAGCACATATGCACAAATATGCACACAGGCATAAACACAGGTATGTGCAAACACCTACGCACATGCACACATGAATTTACATACATGTTCATCCACACAGGAACTGGGCCTTCAGAATGACCCTGGAATAAGCCCCACTGCTCTGCTCTCTGCTGCACCATTCTACCAGTCCCTGGCCACACTGCCCTCGGAATCTTATTACGCTTTGTACTGGAGGAAGGGGACACACTCTACAAAATTACAGTCATAACTCCAGCCCAGGGTGTGAAGTGGAATCAGCTGTCTCAGGGGATTCCTTTAATTTAGCTTTCAACTGTTCTTAGCACCTGGGACTTCCCTCTTGGGGTTGCTCAAGGCAGAATCTAGACCAGGGCAGAACTGGAGCTCGTCCTTCGGCTCTGGTGTAAGTGTGGATAGGCTGAAGGGCTGCAGCACAGCTGCCGGCTTAGGGGTCTGCCAGATCCCAGCAGGTGAGGCCTGGACTCTGCAGAGGGGCGGGGGACCTGTGTTCCCACAGGCACGTTCTCCCCTCTACGGCCTTGGCTATAGCCGAGGCCCAACGTGCCAGGTCACAGCCAGGATGATAGCTCCCTTCCAGGAGCACGTGAGGTGCTGATCCTCCCTAAGTCCACATCATGCCTGCAGGACAGTGCCATGTGGTGATGGGGAAGTGGGCAAGATTCTCTCCTCTGTCCCTGAACTTAGCTGGCAGAAAGGCTGCGGATCCTGGGTGCCTTTGGAGTCTGGAACACAGAAGGTGGCACCTCGTTAGGAGTCCCAGGCACTGTGACCACGCAGGAGCAGGCTTTCAAGCCTCACTACAAGCAGGACGCCCTCCAGGAGATTGGGGTCCATGGGCCCCAACCACATTGCAAGACCCCAGACTTAGGGATCCGGGCCGGACTTCAGCCCTGGCTGCATTCTACAGTGGCTCGCACAGCTGACACTCCTGGCCTGAGAGACAGCCTGCAGGTGTTGGGTAACCGTCTCTGCCACAGCTTGAACTGATCAGAACACCACCAGAACTGGCCCCTGAGGTACCCAAAAGAGCCGATTCCCCTAATGAACTTTTCTCGCCTGAGAAATTCTGGAAAGCATACAGCCAAGGCAGAGAGTATGCCTCGGAGTCAGAGCTATGAGTACAAACCCAGCTTTCCTGGCTGCTAAGGGACCGTAGTGAGGGGAAGACCAAGACCAGGAGCCGAATGCCCAGGGGGTTTTGGCTAAGAGGCTCGGGGTGGCCACTTGGCCAGTGCTGGGGTTCCCTTTCCCTCTTCCCTGGGGCTGCTGATAGAAGCATTCTGCATACAGCTGCTAGGCTGGGCAGACACAGTCCTGGCTGGGTAGCACACTGAGACCACGCCTCTGGGGGCATGTGCTAGTCCTTCAGTTACCTCACCTGTACCAGGTTTTCCATTGCCACCACTGTGTGCGCACCTGGTGTGCATAACACACTGACAAGCTGGTAAACGTAGCCCTGGGGGCATATAGGGAACAGATTCCACTCGTCTCCTCCCCTCCTGGCGTGGAGGATTGCAAGGGCGAGCACAAGGAGGGTCAACCAGAACCCAAGACCAGGGATATCTCAGGAAGCTCAGCTTCTGACCCTTCCCTCTCCCTAAGCCTTTGCACCTGCCATCAAGGCACAAGGATGACCCCTTGCCCAGGAGACAGGGTCACAATTCAGGTGTTACTGTTTCCCTGGGGCAGCTCAAGTTGGATGAATGAGGTCCCAGGATAATGAGCTCTCTCCCCCAATCCCTGCCCTTTCCCTCCTTACCCCACATGCCAGTGTGGCTGGGGCCTCTTGCCATCCTCGCCTGTACCGCCAAGCCTGTTGAGGGATGGCGAGCGGCTGCGGGGCCCCGGGACATAGCTTGGGATGCTCTTCACGGTGCCATCAGGTTTGCTGGGCACCTGCTGCAGCAGCTGCGGCGAGAGGCTGCGATGGGCGGTGGCCGCGGAGCAGACGGCCCATTCAGGTGCACCGGCGTGGAGGTTGTTGTCACTGTTGGAGCGCAGCAGGACCCGGGGTGCGGCCAGTGTGTTTGGGGGCCGCCGCCTGCGGTTGGAGTAGGCCGGAGCCTCTCGGAAGGGCACTGGATGGAAGAGAATGGGGAGAGCTGGGTGAGTACAACCAAGGGTAGACATGGCGAGGCCCATCCTGCATGCATCCATGCCCCCATGCGAGCCTGTGGTAGGCAGCCATGAGTTACACATGGAATCTGTAGCCAGGCTGCCCAACGTCCCGAATCACTCCAACATGGAAGCAGAGAGATGGCGAGGGAGCTGGTCATCTTTACACAGAAGCTTATGTCTATGCCCAGATGGAAGAAACATGAGTTCGAGCTTCCATCTGGCCAGCTCCTTCCACAGCCTGGAAGATGCTGCTGGCTTTACATGTGGAAGGATGGACTCCCACCACCCACCCAAGCAGTTAGGACACCAAGATGCTCAGGTATGGCAGAGCTCCTCCTCTGGCTCTGACCTTGACCTGGAGGTGGCAGAATTATATAGCCTGACATTCACATGCTGGGCTGCCACCCTGAGACCTCAGAGCATGATTGCACTTGGAAAGAGGACTTTGCACAGGAAATTAGGTTCAAGTGGGTCACTAAGGGTGGGTCCTAATCCCATCTGTGTCCTTGGTCCTAATCCCATCTGTGTTCTTGTGAAAAGAGGAGTACAGGGCAGAGACACACAGAGAGATGACCACGTGAGGACACAGGGAGGCAGGGCCATCTGCAAGCCATGGAAGGACTCAGGAGGAGCCAGCCCTGTGACACCTGGATGTCAGGCTTCAGCTCTAGGACATGGGACAGTGAGTGACTGAGCTTTATAAACCCCTTGGCCCTTAGTGTTGTCACAGTATCCCTAGCAGTGAACACAGCCCTAAACCCCCTGGTCAGGGGAGAGTCCACACCCCCTAGATCACTCTCTTTCTCATCCATCAAGCTGGTGCCTAGCTCTCACAGTGGTGCAAGTGGCCCAGCTCATCTGGCTCTGCAGGAAGCTCTGTGAGGGACCAGGCGCCCCTGCTCCCAAGTCCCGGTGCCTAGTGCTCAGAGGATGTATGCCCTCGGAAGCTGTGTGTGATGCCTCTACGTGGCCTGGCTGCTCCTCCATGATACCTCCTCTCAGAAATTTCTCTCTGGGATGCAGGAGACAGCAAATACCACCAGCCCCTGACCAACCAAAGATTTCAGGTGACCTTGGGTTCCTGGATGTCCACACCCCTGGCCCCAGGTCTGTGCTGCCCAAGTCCACATGAATAGCTGTGACATAGGAGAGGACACATGTCTCTCAGGGAAGTTGATCTGGGCAGGATCATAATGCAAGTAACAAACAGCTCACGAGAGTCCTGGGCTATCCCCTACCCCTGGCTGCTCAAGGTCAGAGGTTACTCTAAGGGTCATCAGAGAAACCAAGAATGTTGCACCTGTCACCTGAATGGTAGGGATCTGAGGCACAGGTGATATGGGAAGAGCTCACGGTGGACAGAGTGGGTGGTGCCACAACTCAAGGGACAGAGGGGGCACTAGGAAAGCTCATGGGGGGACAGAAGCAGTGCTGGCTGGCAGTCAGCTCTTGAGTTAACTGTGACCCAGCCTACCCCTGCCACCAGGATGAAGGGTGGTCCCAGGAACACAGCTGGGAACCAAACTAGGGAAGCCACACAAAATGGCATGAGGTGTCCTGGGGACACTTAGATGTAGCATTCTGGTTCTGTGCCACCTGGAAGAGGTCATCCTAACCCCAGTTAGACAGCAGTGATCTTACATGACCTGTCCTCCCCAGTTAGCCCTGTGTCAGAGGAACAGGCACACTGGTGACCAGTTCTGCAGCTGGGGCTTCATCTTATCCTCTATTTCTCCAGGCAAGTGAATCCTTAGAGACCACCTGAGCCAGCCAGGGATACCACGCATGGGCCAGGCTAATAGTGTCCTCCCTGGAGACAAGAAGCTACCCTGGCTAGGCCCTGGGCCAACAGTAGCCTGCCTCAGGTCAGGCCACTGAACATGCATTTTGCTGGTCACAAGAAGACACTATACTGGATTCCCTCCACCTGAGCAGACAGAGGCTAAAACCCTCGTGGAATGACAGAGGCTCCAACAAAGGCCACAGACAGTGGGAGCTTGTGGGGGCACTTGACACAGCCAGAATCCAGGGATGAGGTTAAAGACCTCCTAGAGGACTGGTGATCCCACAGCCTAAGAGGCTGTTCATTTGTCAACCCGTGAGGTTAGGGACTGAGGGACTCTGCTTTCAGGAAAGCCAAAATCCCAAGTAGACACAGCGAGCCAAAAGTGGTCCTAGAGGCCCAGAGCTTCAGGGAACATGCCTAGGGGAGTGAGGGCTCTCATTCAGCTTGTGGGGGACATCACACAGCCCCAAAACCCGGACACCTGTGCTCAGCCACTGTCCCCACCAAGAGTTAGTCCTCTGTTTCTGACCCGTGTAATCGGTAAAGTGTTAATGCCTTTAACTGAAGAGAGACAGGATGGGGCGTGGGGGGTGCCAGCTGCTAAGATAAATTCATTAGGAAAGAAAATCCATAAGAAAGCAGAACAGATAGACAATTAACCTCGTAACGTAACACGGGACTGAAAATTTCCCACTGTTCATGGATTATAAAAATTGAAGTCCCAGAAGGTGAATTTTGCTGCATAATGTGAGAAAATGAATTTAAGCGAAGGCTGTCTTTGTAGAAATTCCTAAGAAAGAGTCTTAAGAATGAGGATGTAGAGATTGGTAGGAACGCGCATGGGGAGGCCACCCGTGGAGGATTAAGGAATAAAATCGCTGGGACAATTTCACATACATTTTACCCTGAAGACCAGGCAAGCTACTCAAACGGAACCACAAAGGTGACGTTAGGGTGAACGTTTTAATGAAAACTATCTTGCTTGATCACCAGGATCCACATTAAATTAGTTTCCAGAGCAGTAAAATTTCTTCAGTGTTTATTTTACGATGAGCTCAGGCTGGGGAGTACCTTTTTAATTTCTTTAAAGTAATCTCTCCAAAAAGCTGCTGATTTCCTAAAACAGAAAATCTCCCTGTCTGACAAAGCTATCTGACTGGAATCGTCCATGGAAGTGATGCATTTTTTGGTGTGTGAAAAGGGTTAAAAATAACTCTTTTCCTGTCTGAAAATGATTAATATTCCACCCAACTGTTTCCTTCTTTCAGGCAATCTGCAAACTCTAGGTGGGTGGATATTTTCTTAGCTGACTTACATGCGCTTATTTATATATTTTTCCCCCCACAATAAAAACCACACAAGGTATGACAAAGAGCGTATGCACTTTTAAAGTCTGCCACACTGCCTTCTCCATCTACTCCATGAAACTGCAACACAGGGACAGCCAAGGAGAACCAAGAGGTGGCTTTGTGGGTGTCCACCTGCCCAGCACAGCCAGTCATGTGCCCAACCTTCTGGAGCGGGAGCTTAGCAACCCTCCAGGTGACCGACAGACTAGAATCAAAGTTCTTTTATTTTTCCTAGGACTTAGTTCCTAAAGTGTCCTCCATCACAGTCACCATGGAAGGACATTTGGGAATACAATTTTGCAAGGGGCTGGAGGCTTAGAAACGCAAGAGGATAAAAAGGCACATTCAACCGTGTTAATTTCCTAGACCGAGTAAGTCAAACCCTACCGTGAACCATAAGTAATGAATTCCCTTGTAAGACACGAACTAACAACAAGCAAATTTAGGGGGAACCGAGTCCCTCTCTCCTCCCAGAGGCAGTAAGAAGCTGTTCATCAGTCCCCCAGGGTCCCTATTGCTTTCTCCTTACCTTCCTTCTTGGTGAAGGCATTTAACAAAGACTTCATTTTCCCTCTGATTTTGGCAGCGGTCCGCTCATTATATAACCTTCTCGGAGGGGCGGAAGGCTAGGCGCACAGCCCGGCCCCTCGGTGCTGGAGCGGCTGGGATCCGGGGAGCAGCGGCGGGTGTCTGGGCACTGTGCGCTCCCGAGCATCGCTGGGCATGCCAGACCCGGCGTGCTGGTGACAAAGCCCACCCCATATTCTGTCTGTCAGCTGGGAACCAACTGTGCGTGGCTGGGGCAGCTCTCAGAGCCGGCTGCCTCTGGCAGCGTTCGTCATGTGAGCTGAGCTCCTCTGCTCCGGGAGTGGGGCATTGAGGAAGCGGCAGGGCGCAGGGCGAACTTGCAGGGAGTGACTGAGCTGGCGGCGGGGAACACCAGGAGGCATGTGCAAGCTCAAGCCCTAGTTATCCAAGGAAACCTGGCTGGTGCCGGGCGCTCCGTGCGCTGTGGCTAAATATAATGCACTGTGCTTTTCTATTTTTTTCTTTTAATTTTTAAAGAAAAAGCCAAGTCTATTTGTCAGCTAGCAGATGTGGAGACAAAGTCAAGGGGGAGAATGCTGAAGCATGGAGGAGCTGTTCCCCAGACCCATGGTAATCCAGCAGGCATGCAGCAGTGGAATCCTGAACTCGACCTCTATTTCCCTTTGCAAGAATCAGACACAAGCACCCATTACTTCTTTGCCCCCCTCCATCATGGTAATGACCGTGGAAAAAACAGGACTCCACCTACTCCTGGTGTTTTTTTTTTAAAGAGGATCAGAAAATCATAGATAGGTCCCTGATTCCAGGAAGCTGATAAAAATGAGCTCATCAATCCCTCTCCACGTGTCTCTGGCACTCACACCCCAAAGGAAGTCTCAGAGAAACCAGAAAAGATCATCCCTTGGAAAAGCCATGGTGGGAAAGTTCTAACTACAAAGCTGACAGAGAATGAGCGGAGATCAGGCTTGTGTGCCCTGCAGCAGCAGCAGATGGGCTAGGGAATTATTTCTGCTCCAAGACAAAAGTCTTTCTGAAGCACAAGAAACGTCCCAGGGGGCAAAGTGCTACTGCCCAGAGCATCTGTCATGGGGCTGTAGTTAAAACTGTGTGTGTTTGTGTGGGTTTTTTTTTTTTTTTTTTTTTTTTTTTTTTTTTTTTTTTGGTTGCTAAGAGAGCTGCTCCTAAAAAAAAAAAAAAGAGGGAGAAAGACAAGAGGATAGGAGATGGGGAGAAGTGATGGGACCACTGAAGTTGAATTTCCTGTGGTCGGCATGCC